AATTTTGTTAAACAATTTCAAAGATATGTTAGTGTTTCTCCATGTTGATAAACCACTGGTCACTTAAAATCGTTAAGGATTTTTTAGATCCGCTGGGTTTTAGACAAGGATTGACACTGTTTCGTTCAAAAATAATTTAACTATTGATGTAAGTTGGAACTATTCATGTTTCAAAGATCGTAGGTCATGTACAAGCTGCTAGAGCTACGTTTCCGCAAAATCTTTTCCACATGAATTATAACAACCCTATGCTTCGAATTCTAAAGTTTACGTAAACTTTTAAGATAGAATGGTTGGTGTACAATTCCATTATTTAAATTTAGAACCTAGCCATAAATATTTTACGATTAAACTTAACAGTAAAATAGTAAGCAAGTATTACAATGTTGGTCAGACATTGCAATAATTCTTACATTTTACACAGTTCACCTTTTGATGTTCGACCTCAACTATCAAACAATGAACTGTGTAAGGATGATGGCGTGCGCAGTCTCTTTTATAGACAGTAGGCGTGGTTTTACTAATTAATGCGAGGGGCACTTCAGTACGCAGACGACACCCCATTGGTGTGGGCGTGGTCTACTCAACCAATGAAATGCGGGGGGGGGGGGGGGCAATACACACGGGAAAGCGAAATGGCGTGCATAACAAACCGAATTCGAGAAATTGCAATGTATTCCAAACCTTAATTTAAAACGAATAATAGTCGTAATTTCCAATTACTTAAAAGAGCCAACTCAAAAATGTTGTAATCAATCACTCGGATACAGTTGTTATCAAAACTGAAAACATACGTTTTTGTGTGTATCACGTGTTTACTACGAACAGCTGTAATTAGTATTACGAATTATTCATCTGTTTAAGTAAAAAATAATCTTTTCTTCATAAGAAATACATTGAGATTTTTTGATGACCCGTGGGGTAAAGCCTGAGAACTTTTATTACAGGAATTTGTGAAAAAGGGCGTCTACATAAACAAAAAATGCTTAATTTTGACACATCGTTTGTAAAAAAATTCGTTCATTATTAACAGAGGATTAGTGTTTCGTAGAAATCGCCTTCACGTAGTAGGAGGGAATAGAGCTACAGAAAATAAACATGTGAAATGCTCGTTACTCAAATATAAATTAGCATTGCAATATGAATAACCTCTAGATTATGTAGAATAAATAAAAACCAGCCTTAATCTTCAAGCTTCTAGCTAAAAAGAATCAAACTATACCTTATGTATATTTATATACAATTAATATTTACCTGTGATAATGAAATGTCTTGAGAACTGCTGAAATATTCAAACTGAAATATACGACTGAATCTAGCTGCAAACAGGCTAACTGTAGAATATTACTTTTACCATCCTTTCACTATTTAACAATTAACTAATGAATGTTTGCAATGGTCAAATAGTTTTACTTTATAATGTTCCAGATAGAAACGTTCTGAATACAAAACTTTAAAGATCTAGCTTGCTGCGATGTTTTTTACTTCGACGTAAAAGAACCAAGTAAAGAGTATTTTCTCAATGACAGTGGGGTGATTGAACGTTTCAGCTCTCTGGATTGGAACATTGCATAGATGAGCATAGATGTTCTATGTTCTATCACGAAGAACGAACCGTTGAAACACATGCGGGCGTTACAGGGATCTTCACTAACTGGAGAAGCTACCGTTGAAACAATGAAATTACCAGTACCCGCATTAGTTTTGGTCTACACGCTTTGTCAATTCATTTTGTTTTCATTTGAATTAAAAGGATATTTTTCCGAATTGGTTTTAAAATAACAAACAATTTGCAAGTCAACAATTTTGTTAGGGATTGTACACAACCTCTTGATGACACGTTGTAGCTTACGTGATAGTGTTAATATAAATATCTCACAGTAGGTTTATATAATGTAAAAGATTGTTTGCTAAAAAACGCAAATTTGCTTTAAAATTAATTGTAGATAACAGTATTGAAGGAAGGGATTTTATTTTGTACACATTGGTTGTTTATACAATACATCTATATTGTTTGATTGGTAAACTCGCATAGAGTGGTTACACTAGAAACAGACAAATTGAATCCAACAATTCAGAGTACAATAATAACAACATACAAGATAACACTATTTTATCCACTACAGATAATATTCCTCATCTGATCTACAACAAACCATTACATCAAGACACTCATATATTCAACAGATATATATACATATATATATATAATATCATCCAGTTTAAATGGATCCGACTTTAGCATGGAAGTGTTAGATGTATTAGAGATACTGGATGACGGTGAAAGAAACCGTTACATGTGAACGTAGTTAACAGTGAAAATAGTGAACGGTGAAAATAGTTAAATTAAATAGCTTTCTGTACCACAGGTAGCAATACAAAACCAAAAACCACTTTCCACTAATTTTTATCGCATAAAGGACAAACATAGAACAAACAATAAACAGAACTGGACATTGAATTTTATAAATACAAACAAGAATATTTGATAAGAGTTGGCATTTGTTTTATTAAATAGTAAATAACTGTGTAGATAGTGGGAAATTTGGTTTTTTTTATATAGCTTGATCGCTTTGTACATCTACCATTATATGTTTTACGATTTGATTGGTAAACTTGAATACCAATTGTGTCACAAACTGTTATAAGAATTATTCACAATTTTTACTGGAACATTCATTGCTATATATTACTGTTGATTTTGTATTGAAGCGATTTTTTTATGTATATGAGTGGTTATTTGTTGTAGATTAAACAATGTGTAGTATACCAAGTGTTTGTTATTTGAAAAAACCATTCGAAACATATAGATTTGAATGAATGGGTGAGTCTTGTTGAAATAGAAATATCAAGGTACTATGTTTAAACCGCGGCACGTAGTTGTAATTAGTAGAGCAATGCTCTGCCCGCATACCGCCAACTGTTAAACAGCTGATACACCTTGCAGGATTAAAGTGTTGTTTTAGTTTGGATCTGAATTTTATGTTTGTAATAGTAAAATAATAAAATAGTGGTTATATTAAGTTTTATGTACGGAACATTGCAAACCAAAAAATCAAAAAACACTTTTTCGTAATATGTACATAATAACAAACTTTTCACTTAACGATCTCATAAAATGTAAAGACAGAAGTGGTAATAGTTCAATTGCGACTGTTTGTTGTATATAAACAATGATTCTAGGTAGCCATTAGAAAAAACTATAAAAGAAGGTTTAAGATCGGGTCTCTCATCAGTCTGTTGTGAAACTAGCTAAAGACAACATCTTATTAAAAAAAGATTGTTTGCTAAAATCAGTCATTTGTATTAAAATTAATTGAAGATATCAGTATTGAGGAGGGTATTTTTAGCTTATACACCTTGATTATTTATACATGTACCAGTACATCTATATTATCTGATTGGTAAACTCGCATAAAGTGGTTTCACTAGAGACAGACAAATGGAATCCAACAATTCAAAGTTAAATAATAACAACATACAAGATAACACTATTTCATCCACTACAGATAATATTCCTTATCTGAGCTACAATAGAGCATTACATCAAGACATTCCAGAACAAATAAATATAATATCATCTAGTGTAAAAAGATCCATATTTAGCAAGGAAGTGATGGATATATTAGAAAGACTGGTTGACGGTGAAAGAAGCCTTACCTAACATTTGAACATATTTAACAGTGGAATTAGTTAAATTGAATAGTTTTCTGTACTACAACTAGCAATAAAAAAACATTCAAACAGTTTCACAAAAGGACAAACGATAAACAGAAATACGTTGGATTACAATACAACCAAGAGTATTTAATGAGAGTTAACATTTGCTTTAAATAAATAGTAAATTATAGGGTAAAGAGTGGGGAATTTGTTTTTTTATAGCTTGATCGTTTGTACGTCTAACATTAAGCAATGTGCAATATACCAAATGTTTGTTATTTTAAAAAAATCATTCAAAAACATAACGATTTGAATGAATAAACAAGTCTTAGAAATATAAGGTACTAGGCCTATGTTGCAAATGTGGCACATGGTTGTAATTAGTGGAACAATGATCTGCCCGCATGTACCGCCAACTGTTCACGAAGAAGTAGAAACACTGTGTACATTACTTTTCCATACCAGTTAAATAGCTGATACACCTTGCAGGATTAAAGTGATATTTTAGTTTAGTTCTGGATTTATGTTTATAATGGTGACATAATAAAATAGTGGTTTTTAATAAGTTTTCTCACAGAAACATTGCAAACCAAAAATCCAAACACTTTTTGTAATATGTACATAATAACAAACTTTTCACTTGACGATCTTATAAAATGCAAAGACAAAAGTGGAAATATTTCAATTGCGAATGTTTGCTGTATACCAGATAGCAATCATAAATAGCATAAAAGAATGTGTATGATGGGTCTCTCATTAGTCTGTAGTGGAACTAGCTAAAGACAACATCTCATTAACAACAAATTATATCGCAAACATTGCAAAGGTAACATGTACAAATAGTTATCTCCAACAGTTTTATGTCGTATATATAGCTAATTTCTCAAATTTAACAAAATTCCTACTATGTTTCCAATAAAAGAAGCAAACTTTGAGTGTATAATATGCATGGACAAAAAAATCGTAATTTACTCTTCTTACCAATGCAAACACTGTTTCGCTTGCGACATGTGTGGATGACAATTTGACAACTGTTGTTACTGTAGTAGACCTAACTCTATGATCCAAATGTTTAGTTTAGCTTAGATCTGTATTAGGTTTAAGTTTGAAAACAATTATATTCCTCGTATGTCAATTTTGATTTTTCAATAAAGAATTTAAAAATCAGCATATCGGTACTTATCCCTTTACCGATATGCTGTTTTTTTTTAAACCACAACAATAACCTTGAAAATATCGATCCACCTAACTTTCACACCTCAGCATGTCGTCATCATGACGTCACCATACCGTAACCCACCACACCACGTGCTAGGTCACGCACCATTACCACCAGATGCTTAACCGTCAATTAAGCACCACATGGCTCTTGTGACGTCACTCCCCAGCAGCCCTATGTATCCACTACTCATGGCTGTAGCTTGCTGTAGCTCTCGGGGGGTGAGAAGCAGGACACCTATACAACTATACAACTGATACAAATACGCTTTTATAACTTACTTTGCACATAGTTACAAAACCTAACGAAACCCAATAACATACAACTACTTCCTTAACTGCTTGCCAATAAAAACTCTTTTTGCTTTGTTTTCTTTTTGTGTAAAATACACATTGTACATTAAGTTAGTTTGCAAATCTTCACAAGGTGTTGTAATAAAAATAACAAAAACATAATAATACTGCGTTATAACTACCATACAGATTTTTATACCATCCATATTTCTCGCAAGCATTTTCAACTATTCAGTCTACACATAGGTCCATGTAGACTCTTTCCCCTGGTTTTGTATCATCGGTGTTTTCATTTCTTCTTTTTTTTCTTTAGAGTTTTGTTAGAGTTAGTTATATTTAGAGAAAGTAATAATTAAGTTACTTGGTTGTGGAGAAAAAGAAAAAATACCAGGTATTATATTTTTCTGAAATATGTTTCATTCATTAACTTGATTAAAATAAGTGTCATAGAAAAAGTAAATAGTAACCACTCAATACCTCATGAATAACAAAATCAATTCTGTATGTGGCTTGAAAACATATACATACATAAATATATAGCTAGTATTTTTTTCTTTTCAAGTGAAGGTAAAAAACCTTAGATGTAAAAGTTTATTGTGCCCACTATAAACCGAACTACAAAGGCACGCGCATAAGTGTGCATTTTGTATTTTGGTTTATTTTTTATAGCAATGATAGATTGTAAATTGGCAACTTGAGGATAAAAAGTTTATTGTAAAATTTATACTGTTAATTTACTTATTATTGTACACTAATAAAGCAAAGCGGGTCAAAAAAACTATTTACATCATATCAACTACTAATCTTTACACATGGGTTCACATCTCGCCTTCAACAATATCTTTTACCTTTTTGACAAGAACCCTCGATGTTCATAGCCTCTGATCCATCTTTTCAGTAAAAAAAGAATATAGGTATCCAAGGGTAGAATAAAATTTCTGTATTTGTAGCCAGGCATACGATTTTATTTTCCAACAAAAATAAGAACTTTGTATCGATGTAAACAATTATTTAGTAGAGTCCAATTCTTCTATAATACAATGAACCTCAGTTTATACAAAAAAAAATGCATATACCGAACCTAATTTCATTGAAGTAAAACAGTATGTGCTATTTTGAATTAGGATCAATTTTTATAATCGTCATTTTGTAAAGTGTAAATGACAGAATCATGGTGCGGCGGCTGTTGGGTAGGCCAACCGCAAACATGGGTGAGGTGGAACTAGGCCTACATCGCAGAACTATGTGTGTGGTATCTGGTAGTACCATACGTAAAATATTATTAGGTTATTTTCACTGTTTAAAAATGTATTCTTTTTCAAGATGTTATTAATGAAAATAATTCTTAAAAAAACTTTATTATAATTTAGAAGTAAAAAAAATGTAAGTGTAAAATTGCAACTTAATTTATAATGCTTAGAATAATTTCCATAGCCCTAATATAATATTACAAATTCGAATAAAATTAAAAAAAAGATTGAAGGAAAACGGTGAAATGTTACAACGACAACGTCGACAAATTGTGACTTGAATGTCTTACAACTAATTAAACTGTCAGACTATCACTTAGTTTAAAACCAAGATTTAGAATAAAAGATTTGGTCAGAAGATTCAATTTCCTTTTTAATTTGGAATGGTAATTAAGTGATTATAATTCCACTAAAACAGTACAGTAAGTATAATATAATCTAAATAAGTAAGTATAATCTGAATATATTGTAATAGGTCTACATATAGGTGTCTTGCGATTTCATTTACAACCCCTAATAACGATAGTGATGTGTTGGTATGGATACATTTCTGTCGTAAAAAGCCATCATAAAAGAGTGCGGAAGATTTAGCCATCATTCCTCACTACCATCCATTAGTTACTTAGTATTCGGATTCTATTCCAATTTATTAAGCTTATAAATATATATTTTTATACCAACATTAATTCAACTGTATTTTAGTAATAACATATCTATTTTGATAAGCTCAGCTTCCATTTGCAATGAGTTTATATCTAGTACAATAATGATTTAGATGGCATTTAGCTGCATTGTAATGTTTTAGTATCGCGTAAACCTGCTTCACAGTAGAATGTTTCCCCGTTTCTGTAATGTTTTCTTTAGTGATCGCAACAAAGCCTTTATCACAACAAGGTGTCACGTTGAGTCAGGGGTCGTTTTATTGGGTAAACAAAAATGTTGACGGAATACAAAAAAACCTGTGCATTATTTTAAAAAAACAAAGTCATCTCCAGGTTGAAGCACACTATTAAGACAATAAATATAGATGTAGCTTAGTGAAATGAACGTCTTCATTCAATAATATCAAATATATAACTATTTAACCTTGGTTGCACCCTTGTCATTTGGCTCGCAATTTGGCAATGCAAAGGCGTGTTTATTACTCCACGTAAGTAGGAATCAAGAGTAACTGTAATTGACTAACATGTGTTCGAAAATGTCTTTAGTGATAAAGGCATCTTCAAGTAGTATTGTTATTTTAACTTTTCTGAACTAAAACCGTACGGATAGAATAATTATGATAAATTGAAGTGCATAACATAACATATTATGTTAGTATTGTTTTCTTTTAATAAACTACTTTAAAAAATGATGATTTTGGAATTTACTTTTATATTTAGAGACATGCTATGAAAATGTTAGCCTCAAACTGAACTTTTTCAGTCATTTTTACACTGTATAAACAGTGCAGCAAGCGAAGCCCCCAGCCCTAGGGAATTTTCCTTCTGCCACTCCCCATCTTTATAAACACCCAATTAACTCATTAGACCTAAATCGAGTATTCAACGAAGGGCGTCATAATTTAACTCTAAAGTGGGGTGTTGGACTTTAGTAAGTCTCAAGTTTCAGTAGATTTAAAACATAATAAGCTTTGTAGTTTATAACAGAGTTACGTGTGTAAAAAATAACAAATACATATATGTGCAGGATTTGTATGATGAAGCCAACGCACGTGTCGTACGCTGAGGGGTTCTGGGAAAAGTTCTTGCCAGCTCAAGCTATTTTTATCCCTGCAATTGCTGTTTGTTTTATAAGAGGTGAAATGTGAATTTATTATTGCTATTACATTTTACAATCTCGTGGATTGCTGCTTGCTACAATTACAGAATAAAACATATGCTACCTACGTCCCTCACACTATGAAACTGTAAGTGAGAAGAATTGTAGGATACAAATGTTTTAAAGATCATGTATATTTCTGAAAGATCATAGCATTAATTAGTTATTATTATAAAATCCGTATTTAACAAACACTAAAAAGTTTGAAACACCATCATTATTTAGCAGTTCTTTATAGCAAAAAATCTATGTTTTATATTAAAATATTTCAATTTTTCGTTTTTAGGAATTAGATAAAATTAAGTGACTTACGCTTAGATTTTAAAAATTTAACTCTATTAATAATTTTTTATTTTACCAATTACTCATAATTAATGGGGCAACATAACTCTCAAGATAACTCTTAAATACATGTCCATCGGCAATAAAATGAAACTCTGGCATTCTTTTATATGTAAAGAAAAGCAGTTTTAGGAATTGCCTCACCTGGGTTATTGCTCGCGTCACTGAGGAAGCTGATGTGCTTTGCGTCCGGAAATGGCCTTTTAAATTTCATTTCCGTGCAAGCTGGTAAAAAGGAGAAATTGCAGACAAGTTCTGAATGAGTCGCATTTTTACACGATTTTTAGTTGTTCTCTGAATATCCTATTTTCGAAATTTTTTATTACTTATGGCCTACACCACAGCACCTTGTTTACTTTAAATCTTAAATGCAGTTGTTTACAGTTCGAATTTTTCACTCTTATCATAAATGCTGACACATATAGAAATATATTTAATAGATAATGTAAAAAAGTAAGCTGATATTAAAATGGAGGCAGCATGGTCGATATTGAGCTTTAATAGTTTAACTGAATCATTATGTGCAGGTGATTTAATCAGTTCCACAAAATGCAGGTTTCAGTACCTATCAAACTGGATGTATCTTGATTATACCATCAAAGTTATTACATCTGAATGAAAACCAGACATTTGAATCACGCGATAAATTTCACTTATATTAGTATTACAATCATCTAAGCTAATCCAACCTCGTTCATGTTTATATTTTTAATTAATTGTTATTCTAATCCTCAGCTAGATTATTCGACTTAAGATTAAACAGTGACACGAAGAATATCCTTTGATGACAAGCTTTCAAGTCATAAGGAATATATGGCGTTTATCATGTCATGTAATTTTAAATTACTTACATTATTATGAAAATAACTCATCATCTTTGTGTTTGAGCATTTCCTTATAAAACAACTTTGCTATCACACACTGTTTACTTTCCAAGCATTTATTTTGTTGGTTTATAAAAGCGTATTTATCTTTCACTGCAAACAACTAACTAACCAGTCTAGCATCCTCGTAAACTCGACTAAACTTCTGATGCTGAACTTTGTTACTCAAGTATAAACCACAAAATAAACTTTGCAGAGTTTAAAATGAAGGAAACTGTCTGCTGCTTATAATTTGCAAACTACGAATAATAATAATATATTTCCTTTTAATTTCGACTCTAATATAATAATTTAGGAAAAATATGACGCATTATCATAATAAATCTTCAACATGTACGGTAGAAGCTATTTTCCTTATTTTGCCACAGGTTTTTTTTAAATTATTATTTCAGTAGTTCAGGAAAGTGATATGCATTTTTAGTCATCCAAATTACAAGTTCAACTTGCCATTATTGGTCAAGCGTTATAATTATTTAACATTACAGCCAATATTATCTGCATTCCCCTTTAAAATCTGCTAGGGAAACAGGTGGTGAGGATATATTTAGAATCCCTGCCGAGTAATAAGGGTTTTCGTTAATCCTATCATACGCGCGCTAATGCTAATGGTTCCTGCTTAAGCCTCAAGTCTTCGATAAATTCACTCC